TGTGGCATGCTACTGGCCCTTAGTAGGTGGGTCCAGGGATACTGCTAAACGTCTTGTAATAAACAGGACATTGCCCCAGAATAAGGAATTATCCAGCTCAGAATGTCAATGGTGCTGAGGCTGAGACACCTTAAGAATTGGAATGAATCCATTTCATGATGGCACAAAGAATTATCTTCATGCTCCGGGGTGATTGGGGCTTCAATAAACAAGGAAGTCTGGTGGCGGCTGAGCACTTGTGGATTGTCTGTATTTGCACCAGTCTCATCTCAGCTAGTCATGGCTGGTGGTGGGTGCCTTCCTCTTCTTGCCTTCCTTCCATTGTCTGAAGGGAACTCTCTCCACTTGCAGAGACAAGCAATTGCAGGGGCAAATTTTGAAACAATTCTGTATAGGTTGTAGTTATTTTTCAATAGAAGCTGCTAATAATAACTCTTATATACCTAATAATAATAACCCATGTGATAGCAATATTTAAGTGACATATGCTTCAAAGTGAAATGAATTCAGGTATAAAACCTCATTTCCAGTGATTATGTATTTTTAATACAGAAGAATTGAACTTGATAAATAGACATGTTTATAAAGTGAAAGGATAACATAACAGGACATTGTCGCACTTTCTTTAAGGTCAAATTAAGCATGAGACTGAAGTTCAGTGATTTCCTCCTTCTGGCTGCATCCTTTTCCCACTTGCCTTCTGGAATAGCACTTACCAAATATTAGGGATCATGCTGAGTAAACTAGATTTTCAGTGTCTGTGTGTTTTCTAGATCACACCTCCTTTTAAGCATTGGTTTTTCTTTAAGGGCATCAGCTGAGATTCTACTCTCTCAAGCTTGCATGCTAACCAGTTCCCCAAAAAGCCCATATTAACCAACTCACTGCTTAGATTATTCATTCTTTTTATTCCATGAGTAAGCACTTCTGTCTGAGGCAACTTTAATAGTAAGACTGCTGTTATATGTTGGTTGGGACCTCCTGAGATGAAATTCCCCTTTAAAGATTGTTTGAAGAGTTAAATGGGCTTGGTTAACAATTGCTAACACTTACTGGGCATTCCCTTTGTGACATAAACAGTTCTAAATGTTTGCATGTATTACCATAACTGTAGAAGGTACTATTATTATCCCCAATTAACAGATGAGGAAACTGAGGAGACTTAAGTAACTTGTCCAAGACATACAGCTAATAATGAATGAATGGTAGAGGCCAGACTTAGTTGAGACTGCCTGGTTCAAGTTACATAGGTTCTTAGTCCTGGGTTGATTGCTTTGGTCTTATTGGATTGCACTTGAATAAGATTCATTCATCTGCAATGCAAATCTAATTCCACAGTCAGGCTGCTTCCTCATTCTGTCTTGCTTTTCTGAGCTCTTTTGCTGATCAGTCTCTTTGCCCTGCAAGTTATGTTTATGTTCTTGTCAAATCTATTTCAAGGAATAAATATAAAGCACCTTTCTGCTTGCTTATATTGGGCTTTGTGTGACAGATAATTAATTTTAGAAATGGACACTGCTAGTAGTGTGCTAGATATGGTTGGTACCAATGTGGGAGCCATTTGTACACTTTCAAGCCTAAACACAGCCATTACTAAAGTTTAAATTATATAAATTTACAATTAAATAAATTCTATTAAAAACAAAGGTAAAACTCTGGGAAACCATTTGGCAGCTTCTTGTTAAACATACACTTACCCTACAACCTAGCAATCGCAGTAATGAGTCTTTAACCCTAAGAATTGTAAACTTAGATTCACACAGAAACCACAGGTAAATGTGCATAGCACCCTTATTTGTATAATCCCAAACTAGAAACAACCCAAATATCTCTTAACTTGTGTATAAACAAGCAAACTGTGGTATATCTATATAATGGAATTCTACTCAGTAATAAAAAGAAATAAACTGTTGATACGCATACCTTGGATGGATGCTGAGTAAGCAAAGCCAGTCTCAAAGGGTCCTTGTACTGGCCTGCTCAGGCTGCCATAACAAAATGCACTAGACTGGGTGGCTTAAACAATAGAAATTTCTCCTACTAGTGGAGGCTGGAAGTTCAAAATGAAGGTGCTGGCTGATTTGGTTCCTGATGTTTTCTTCCTGGCTTTCAGACAGGTGCCTTCTCTTTTCTCACATGTCCTTTTTTTCAGTTTGTTTATTCGGAAAGGGAGAGAGCAAGATTTCTTTTTTTCTCCTCTTATTAAGGCACCAAACCTCATGACCTCATAAAGCCCTAATTACCTCCCAAAGGCTCCATCTCCAAATATCACCACAGTGGAAGAGCTTAAATATAGAAATATTATTGGGGGTGGGGGGGACGTGCATAAACAGTCTTTAACAGTTACGTATTGTATGATTCTATTCCATTAAGAATGTATTTTGCATTCTTAAAGTGACATAGTTACAATGATCAGTGATGGCCAGAGGTTAGGATTAGGGTGAGAGTGTTGATATCAGGGATAATGTTAGGGAGTATTTTTATGGTGATGGAATTTCAGTATTCTGATGATTACGTGAAGCCACAAATGTAATACATTTCATAGAACTATACGCACATGTAAAGAATACATGTGAAAACTGGAGAAATCTGAATAAAGTCTGTATTTAAGATAATGATGCTGTACTGATGTTAAGTTTCCCGATTTGACAATGTATTGTGGTTATGTCAGATGCTACTACCATTGAGGGCAGCTGGGGGATGGGTATACGGGAACTCTGAACTATTATTATAACTTCTTGAGTCTTAAAGTATTTAAAAATAAAAAGGTTATTTTGTAAAGTCCTAAAAAAAGAGAATGAACCGTGATACCTAAGACAACATGATAAATCTCAAAAATATTATGCTAGGCACCATATGATTCCACTTATATGAAATTCTAAAAGGCAGAACTAATCCATGAAGTTAGAAGTTAAAAGTAGTTGAGTGGGGTATAAATTGACTAGAAGGGAGATGAAAAAAATTTCTGGGGTAGTGGATGTGGTCTGTATCTTCTTTTAGGTGTTAATTGCGTAGGAATGTAGAATGGTCAAAACTCACCAAAGTGAATGCTTATCATAAATATATCTATTGTGAAAAACAATACTAATTATAAAAAAGCAGAAGTAAATAGATACTAAAACTTCATTACTTTCAAGTTACCTTACTATTGACTATTGTCTTGAGACTGTTGTATCTGGATGACAGAAACACTATGTAGCAGTGGCTACACTGGGCCTCTCTTCCCAACTTCACATTGACTGCCTTTCCTCCCAGGTGCTTATTTTACAAATGAGGAAATCAAAAGCTCAAGAAATGAGGGCTAGAGATAACAGATATGGGAGCCTTCTGGGGCATGGGTGGAAATAAAAACCACAGAAATGAGTAAGACAGTCCAGTATGACTGAAGAGTAAGAAATCAAGGTGGAGTGGGTGGAGTCCTTGGAACAGGCAGAGGAACAAGAACCCTGGTCTGACGTGTAGAAAGGACAACTAGAGAAAACCAGGAGAGCGTGGGAGCCACAGAAACTAGGAAAAGAAAGAGTTTCAGGAGGGCTGTGCTCAGTCAGGTAAGTAGTATTACAGAGATGTCTTTTAGGAAGGACGTGTTTGTTCCATTTGACAAACAGGAGATTGACAGTGGCCTTAGAAAGGTTGTGGGAAGGATTTGTGTCAGGACCCCTCTACCTACATTCCATATCTTGGAAATGGCAAAAGCATTCATTCAGCTGTCCAAAGTGGAAACCTGGGAATCATCCTAGAATCTTTCTTTCCTATTTCTTACATTTAAATGGTCACCAAGACCTATGGGTGCTCCTTTTAAATATTTCTCACTTTCCCCCACTTTCCCCCTCAATTCCACTGCCCTTGTCCATTCACTCTCTTGTGAATAGACTGCAACAATCTATTCTTTCCCCCACAAATTCAGTCTTCTTTTCCAAGTGATTTTTCTGACGTAGATATCTGATCACATCAGTTTCATGTTGAAAAATTATTTATAGCCTCCTTATTCTCCATACTTTGTGTCTGTAACCCAGGGTCTATGAATCTGATAAGATAGAATGAAAATTTGTTTGGGCATGTGCACATGAGCATGCACATACATCTTGAGAAAGGCAGAGCTACATACTTCTATTATGAAATTAATTTAAACCTTTTATATGAAAGCTGTAACCTAATAACAACCTAAGAATACAGGGAGGGGGGAGGGAGAGGGGAATGGGTGTAGGGAGGAGGATTGGAGGGTTCACTTCTGTGGTTTACCTTACAAGGGTACAAGTGAATCTTTCTATGAGTAGAATATGAACATTTTAACACAATAACTAAGAAAATGACATGAAGGCTATGTTAACCAGGTTGATGGAAGTGTTTCGGATTGTGTGTAAAAACACCACACTGTACCCCAGAAGTGCATTAATGTACACAGTTACCATTCAATAAAAAAAAAAAAGAGAGAGAGAGAAAGGCAGAGCTCTAATCAGACATTCAGAGGGGTCTAGGACCCAACAGATCAGTAATTAATACCTTTAGTCTAAATACCTTCTCTGCACAAAACTCACGGTCACGTGAGCTGGCTTTTGTCTGCCCATCAAATGCCATCTGCTACCCTATTCCCTCTGGTTCTTTATGGACCAGCGATACAGATTTGTTTGTAGCATCCAGAATGTGCTGTGTGTTCTCTTTCTCAGGTCTTTCTTTGGGGTATTCTCCTTGTCTGGAATGCCATCCCTTTCCTCTGCCTTTTAACTGCAAGTGTCACTTAAAAGAGTTCTTCCTCTTAGACTCTTTCCTGGGAAACCTCTACTCCTTCCACTTCCTTTGTGCTTTCTAGTATTCATTGTGTTCTGTTATAATTGTTAGTTTACAGATCTGTCTCCCTATCTGGAATATAAACTCTTTAAGAGGTGTGGGCTGTGTCTTGTCATTCATGCCCAGCACCTAATAGTGCATCTGTGATGTGGAATGCATAAATGAAGTGATCAGTCAGCTGTAGGACAAATATGTGGCCTTTTCACTCTTAGGTGCTCTTGATCAAACTACAGAATGGATAAGAGAATCTGTAAATGAAGAATTACTTCCTCTCTCTGAGACTGCTTTACCTCCTGGGGCTGAAAATAGCTCCAAGCCAAGCCTGAGCCCTACATTGTTGCTAAATAACAGTTTTTTGAAACTATTACAGTGGGACTATCAGAAAAAAGAATTACCAGAGGTGAGTGATTTTTCTTTTCTTCCCCCAAGTTTTCCAATATTTTGTTTCTTAAGTTCTGACTTTGAATCAGCTGGTCTGTGTTGCATGTGGTTTAGTGACTTTACTAAAATCAGATAAAAATGAGAACTTGGATATGACATTGTTAATTTTACAGTTTCATGATATTGAGTTTCCCTTTCTATTTTTACATTTTAAATAAATATGCTAGACACTCATAACAGATGGAACACGTCTTCAGGAACTGACAGAAAAACTGAATCAATTGAAAATTATTGCCTGCCTGTCCCTAATTACCAACAACATGGTGGGTGCTGTTACAGAAGGTCTGCCTGAGCTTACAAACAGGTTAAAAAGGATTTCAGCTGTTCTACTTGAAGGCGTGAACAAAGAGTAAGTTCCAAATGTATCTGTCTGTTCCTTGTATTAAGGCTCTGCATGTATTTCAGAGAAAAGAATAACCTCGGACATCTGGATGTGATATTCAGGACTGTGTGTTAGAGAAGCTTGTCTTACACCTTCTTTTTCTCAAATTTCTTTTAATATCTCTGAGGCTGAGATGTCCTTTCATAGGAATGGAGAGATGTTTTCCATGAAAAGTGCCAGGATGAGTGTAGTATTTCTACTTACCGATGGGTGTGTGCATGAACTTTTCTTTCACAATGCTGTGGAAACCGCTCCCCCCATCAGAAATTCACCAAGCTCAGTATTTTAGAATTGTCCCATCAGAAAGGGATTTCTAGATTAAATTTTTCTGAATTCATTTTTCTGCAATGAAATGTTTATTGGCCTCACTAACCCATCCTGCTATAAAGTCTTTAAAGTGGTGATGATTCTGTCCTTCAGAGATGTGACATAAGTCCTCTGAAGGGTTTTGTTTTTGCTAAATTTATCTCCAGTGTTATACCTTCATTGAATGCTAGAATTACATTTTGATTTTACATTTAGATCATCCTGTTAGGAATCCTATACAAATATTGTACCCTTATATTTATTAATTTGAATAAAGTTTTATTAAAAAAAAAAGAAATCTTATCCAACTCAGAAAATTCCTAGTTTTGGTCACTGGCTGTTTCCATTGGTCTTATATGAGTCACCCCCTGCTAGTTTTGCTTTCAGGTGTTTTCAGGGGTGTATCTTCTTTATTCCTATTATTTTTTTCTTTCTCTCTCTCTTTTTTTTTTTTTTTTGTAGAGACAGAGCCTCACTTTATCGCCCTTGGTAGAGTGCTGTGGCGTCACAGCTCACAGCAACCTCCAGCTCTTGGGCTTAAGCGACTCTCTTGCCTCAGCCTCCCAAGTAGCTGGGACTACAGGTGCCTGCCACAATGCCCAGCTATTTTTTTGTTGTAGTTTGGCTGGGGCCAAGTTTGAACCCACCACCCTCCATACGTGGGGCCGGTGCCCTACCCACTGAGCCACAGGTGCTGGCCCTTTATTCCTATTATTGAAGGGAGGTGCACCTATCCTCACATCCTTTGCTCATTAGGCAGAGATCATATAAATTACCTGATAAAGTCCTAGAAAATTAAGAGCCAGAAGGAACCCAAGTGCTTACAGAACCTAAACTTCTCATTTTTAGCTGAAACTTAAAGTGAGAATAGAATTTGCCTTGAGCTGCACAGCTAGAAAAGGGAAAACCAAAGCCCTAGCCCTGATCTGAGTATCTCAAGGCCATGTTCTTTCTCCTGATTGGGGTACTCACCTGCTGGGCTCATTTCATATTCCAGGACCCAAGACCTATACTGACAAAAACCTCTGATTTTGTAGTTGGTCTTGGCATTTCCCCCACTAGGTAACTATTACAATTTCCAGAAGTTTTTCTTGATTAAATCTTTAATGAACACCCAATGCTGTTTAAGTATTAATGTAAAACATATACAAAGTGATCACTAAGAGGACAGGTTAGGTCAGACAGACCAGGGTTTAAATCCCAGCTCTGCTATTAATTTGTCATATGCATTTCAACAAGTTCTTGAATCTCTCTGAGCCTCACTTCCTCACTTGTAAAAAGGGAATAATATTAATAATTGTACCTCCCTTGGAGTTGTGAGAAGATTCATGTGAAATACTTAGTACAGGTGTCTGGCATATAGTATGTGCTTGGGGAATGTTAACTATTGATGACTATTCACTTGTTAAATAATCTTCTTTATAGTTTTATCTGGTTGCTTATCTGGCTATTTAATTTTTTCCCCTTTGTTAGGAAGTGAATACAGTCAATTCTCAATTATCCTCATTACAGATGGTGTGCTAATATTCATTCATGATATGAAAAAGCAGATGATATGAAATAACGAGTAGGCCTAGATGTCATTTATATTTGATTCGGTGATGCATCTTGAAAACCAACAAAGTTTTGCCTTCTTTATTATGAACAGGAAACTATGGTTTAAGCTAAAATTTAATTTTTCCTTTAGCCTAAAAAAAAAATCACTGATTAAAAGGAGGAAGAAGCCAGGACAGTACTTTGTAGTGGACCAAATGTCAGGAGGTAAAACTTCTGCCTCAAACAATCTACCCTTGGGTTGTAGAACTTCTCAAAGGCAAGTCCAGTATGGGTTTATAACAAATTCCAGTCAAGGCATAACACCCAGCACTTATCTTTTATTGCTGTTAGTGACGATAATAATGATAAACCATTTTTCTTCTTCATCTGATTAAGGATTTACTACATGCCTGACAGTCTGTTAAGAAGTAATATAAGTGTATAGCAAGTTCACCGGTAGAACCAGGATTTGAATCAGCTGGTCTGCGTTGCATGTAGCATCCACATGACCCCACAGCTTATGTTCCAGCTCCTTCCATTGCATCACCTCGTATCATTGGGCCCTCCCCCATCCTTTAATTCCCATTTTTCAGGGTTATTTTAAAGACCCTCTGGATAGTTAGATATAATTTTTAGTCATCATTCCCTATTAGTGTAAAGCCAACAAATGCTCTTCCTAATTACCTCTTTTTCCTTACCTATTAAATAATCCATCCCTTAATTTTGTTTTACAACATTCTAGACTCTACATATTTGGGGTTATTCATCAGTTCCTTTAAAGTAATAATGAGAAGGAGCTTATTATCTTTGGTCATGACCAGTCAGGGTTTTATGTAATTTGATCTTTAAATATCTTTGTTGTTTTTGATTGGTGTTATAGATTTACTGCTCAGACATAGATAAATGAATGGATTCTACTTTATCTTCTGATTATATTTTTTAAAGTATGAATGAATCAACTCAGAACAAAGGATTTAGTTTAAGAAGTTGGTGTTTTCTGCCCCTTTCTGATAGTCCTGCATGTAAACAGGGTTGCTGACTTATTTTCAGAGACTGCATCTTTTGCCTCTGCTTTTCTATTTAAACATTGCCTAATAATTGAGTGGCTTTAAGCATTTAAAAATCTACATATGAGGGTTAGTGTTTGGGGGGAGTTACTATTTTATAAGTCTATTGTAATAGAGGTTATTACTGTCTGTATAAGAGAAAATTGGTAGATCTCTGAAACAAGTTCATATATTAAAACCCAAAAACCTGATGAGCAAAAACTTTCCTTGATGGCATTTTGTTTTATGTTTTGTAGGACCTTTAACTTGAAGGAGGTCCTGAATTCCATTGGTGTTCAGACTTGTGCTGAGGTTAACAAGACCCTGATGGAAAGAGGTTTACCCACTTTAAATGCTGAGATTCAAGCTAATCTTATAGGTCAATTTTCAAGTATTGAAGAGGAAGACAATCCTATCTGGTCCTTGATTGGTGAGTCTACATGTTTTTATTGGTTTCTGCTTCAATTACAAGTTGCTTTAACTTTCTAGTTCTGACTAGTGTTAAATGTGAGTCAAATTTTAGTCTTAATACTTTACCTGCTTTTAAAGGATAAATATGGAAAATATAAGGAAAAATTAATATTTTTAAAGTTTTGAGACTCTTCTGTGTCTGTGTGTATATGTAGTGGGGAGGGAGGATGTTTCAGGGCCTCCTATCTTACCTATTCAGCCAATAGATTTCTGTGAAGAAAATAACACCATGCTGGCAGTACTGTTAAAGTCAGGATTGATCTAGGGATCAATGCAACAATTCAAACCAGTGAACAGTGTGTTCACCAAAAGTAGGTCTCAGGTCTGCTGTGAGGAAGCCTAATGGAACTTGGTCAGGCTTAAAGAGACAAAGAATAAAAAAGCTGTGGAACTGGGGTGCATGGTAAGTGGGCTCTTTTTGTACCTAATGGCCATGAAAGTGACGATCTTGTGTCAAGCTGTGTAGGTAAGTTGGGGAAAGGAGACTGTAACAGTTAGGACTTTTCTATTATCTGTGACAAAGAATCTATACTTTTATACTAGCTTAAGTAAAAAGTGCATTTATTCTCTCATGTATCTGAAAAGACCAGGAGGAGGGCTGGCTGCTGGTAAAGCTCAATCACAGCTTAAACTCTGTCACCGGCTCAAGTTTTCCTGCCTTCCTCCAGGTTGGCTCCCTTTGTAGACAGACTCTTCTCCTAATGGCAAGATGGCTTAAGCCAGCCTACATCTTCCCCATATTTAAGTCAAATGAAAAACAAGGAATCCGCCCCCTGTTAGCTCAGCCAGTGACCCTAGCATTGCATCTCATTGGTTTCAATTGGCATGACTTGAGGTCACGTCCCATTCTTGAATCAGTCTTGGTGACCAGAGGAGAAAGAACTTAAGCCTGAGACATGTGTTCACTTCTTTGCTGAGAGTAGGGTAGAGATAGTTACCTCCAAACAAAATCTGAGTACTGAGGCCATAAGAAGGGAGAGTAACTGGTGTGTGGCAGAAAGCAATTATCTACTCCAGAGGTTGAGGAATAAAAACTAGGAGGAAAAGCGTGTAGAATTAAAATATACTAACATTCTAGAACAGATCTGCAAGTTTTCAAAGAACAACATTGACTACCCGAAGGATACAAATACATTTTATTACTTACTTGAAGCTCTCAAATGTTTTTTTCATCTTTATCCCTGGAGACATGGAATGCTGGTCATCCAGGTTGCACAGGCTACCTGAGTGGGTCAAGGCTTCAACCTGGTTCCCAGAAAAGAACAGTGCCGGTATAAATACCACTGGGGCTACAGGAGAGGCTGCTGCTGAGAGGGGACAGTGAATAACAGTAACAGAGCATAACAACAACCCCCTGTGACTGAGCTCTTATCTATATACCATCCTATGCTGACATGTGTCTGTCCTCACAATATTAGCCTCCAGCTAAACAGTTGATTCCTGGAAGATTGGTTCCTAGGGGGAAGAGGGATAGGATGGGGACTGAGACACTATCTAGCAGTCTCTGCCCATTGTTAGGTCTCCACTAGCATGTAGGCCTCACAAGAATGGGGTATATGTTTGCTCACTGTTATCTCTCTGGACAATGCTGAGTCCATACATGATATTTAATAAATACTTGTGAAATGGGTGAATGCATGGGAGACTTACAGAGGTTAAGTAACTCAAGGTGACATAACAAGCTAGGGCGGGGGGTAGGGTGGTCAGGGGAGGGAGGCAGGGTTGAGATTCTTTCCTAACTTGACCCTGGAGCTCATCTCCCTAACTGCTCTGGTGGTCCTTTTGGTCAGAGGTGGAGCGCTGCTGTTTGTTGGCTAAGTGTACTCTGTGCTCTTGCTTTAGACAATAGAAGTACTTGTAATATAAGAAGGGAGAGGGAAGCTGAGGGCCAAGAGATGCCTCTTAAAATCCAGTCAAGCAACTTTTGTCCACCCAGCTTTTCCCAGTCCAACTTTCTTGTCCTTCTGCAAATTGAAGGCACTTTTTAACCTTATTCAAGTACTGTTGCCATTAGCAACTCCAGTGACTCACTTGGGCGGCTCTCCTTCAACTCTGAAAGCCAAGGACACGCCTTTGGCAGGGACTCCACTTGGCTGCTCCTAAAACAAATGCTCCTGTCACTTTACTCTTGGCCTCAAAACTAACTTGTTCACAGAGGAGACAGAACTACTTGTCAGCATAATAACTATTATGAAATGATTTCATTCTTTATTATTATTATTTTTTACTGTGTCCCAGGGTTCTTTATTTAAGAACAAAGTGATGAGTGATGTGGGGATTAAAATCAAGAGCATCATTGAACTTCACCTTCCTTCCAGCCAGCTCCCGCCAAACTCCGTGCTCCTACCCTTTGTGTTCCCAGTTCCTTCCCTAGTGATTGAAGAAGTTAATCCCCAAAGCCCTGGTACAAATTTTGGGTTTTCCTTTCCTAGCTTCTTTCTTTTCCCTGTACCCCAGGCCCCATTCCTAGAAGGGCAGGAACCCTGTTTTGAATGCCTAGGAGAGCCCAGAGTGGTGACAGAGACAGAGGGAAAGTCTTCTGCCTGGTGGTTGGAGACTGAGGGGAAGTGAGAGCTCCCATAGCCTGGGGTTCTGAAATGGAGCCCTGGGGCCAGAGGAAAGGACACTGGTCCCCTTGAGAAAGCAGGCCAGCAGCCTGGAAATAACTGTCATTGTGAATAGTCACTGCTGGATCACTTGCACTTCTGGTGCTCTCGGACCGACTGTGTTCTTCTCAAGCCCAAGCTGCGGGGCCATGTGACTGAGCTGCAGCATGGGCTTCAGGCACTGCAGGGACAAGTTCTCCAGGCTGCCTCTCCCTGGTTCTTGATACTTTTTCTCTTTGGGCTGCATGAGGGTCTCTGTTTTGCCTGTTTCCTGAGGATTTTCGTGGTCACCAGCTTCCTCACCCACTTCTGCAGCAGGGGCCTCAGTTTACACATGTTCTTGAAACGGAGCTGCAGAGCCTCAAGGTGACAAACAATTGTTTGGCTGAACACCTTCCCAGAGATATCCCCAGAGTGAGCCCCACCTCAGCTGAGTATATTGCAGGGCGATCCTCTTCTGCTTCAGAAGCTTGGCAGATTGCCTGAGTTCTTCCTTAGAGTTTTGCTCTAGCCTCTCCTTCTCTGCTTCATTGAGTGGGGGGACAGGCCTGGGAGAAGTTGCTTGCCACTCTGGCACCACTGGGTTGAGAGATCTCCAGGCTACCTTAGGGCACTAGCCACACTCCAACTTGAGGGCCGTAGTATACCATCCTTATATAGAACTCATATAGTGGAGGGTATGAGGGATCCTCCACACCCCCAAGGCTGGCCCAACCCCCAGCCTGACTCCTGGCCCTCTGGAAGGGCCTTAGAAGCTTAGCCAGGATGAAGACTTAAACCAGCCCAGCTCTAGCCCTCTAGTGCCATCTCCACCACTGCCTGGTGGTGGGGCTAAGAAGGCAAAATCTGAAGCCAGCCGTCCCCCCATGGGGAAGGAAGGTGCCCCAAGCTGGGAGCTTGGTGAAAATAAATTTCCTTGAACTTTCTTGCAGTAGAGTGTTTGGGCCATATCAGGTGAATATAGACCTAAGCCTGTAAGAATCAGGCTATTAGTCTAAAGGGAAATTATTACTTATTTAAATCTTAATTTTCTGCCTGCAGAGGAGTTAGAAAAAATTAAGCACTTGGATCTCTCAGACACAGGAGTTCAGCCTGTTTCCCCTCTGTTGAGGGTACCCATAGTGTGCCTTCTTTGGTTTTTAGTTGATGTGCTCTTTACCTGAGAGATTACAATTCTCAATTCCTGTTACAGTTCTTTCCAAAAAGATATTAGTAAGGGAGTTTTCTTTCAAGCCATTTTCCCCTCAAATATATATAAAAACCAAGTAAAAATTATTTAAGAATTACCTGCTGTGTAGATTATTTGCATGCCTACAGCCATCTACATTTTTAATTAGTAACTTCAGTTGTATAGATGATTTTTCCTTATTGAAAATTACAAATAAGGCTTGCTTTCCTGCTCCGGTCCTCATTCCTCCCTGGCTGCCACTGTTTTCAGTTCAGCCATCTGTGGGGCAGCAGGGTAGTTCTTTTGGTCTTGCTGGACCTGCTAATAAATTTGTGATCTTCTTTGGCTTGGATTGGTAGCTCTGCTGATCCTGACTGGGCTACCGCTGATCCTGACTGGGCTCTCTCAAGTGTTTGAGATGTGGTTACCTACAGGCTGATCTAAGATGGCCTGATTTCCTTCCACTTGGTCTCTTAGTCTCCAGCAAGCCCAGTCTTATTCTCAGGACAATGGGAGGTTAGAAAGTGGACATAAACCATGCTTCTTGAGGCTTGGGCCTGGAACTGGCACCCCGGCATTTCCACTGCATTCTGTATGGACCAAAACTGTCTTGAAGCCAGACTCAAAGGATGGGGAGAGACACAGCCTTTGATAGGAGGAACTGCAAAGCCACCTTATAAAGAGCATGGATGCAGGGAGGGGTAAATAATTGGGAATATTATTATAGTCAATCTACTACTTGTTATTTTTATTTTAAAAAGTAGGTACTTTAATAATGGGACAGATGCAAAGATATCTCTCTTTTTTTCCCTTTAGATAAACGAATTCAGCTATACATGAAAAGCCTGCTTTGTCTTCCAAGCCCTCAAAAATGTATGCCTCCCGTGCCAGGAGGCCTTGCTGTCATCCAGCAGGAGTTAGAAGCCCTAGGTTCTCAATATGCAAACATTGTGAATCTCAACAAACAAGTGTATGGACCATTTTATGCAAATATACTTCGAAAGCTGCTCTTCAGGGAGGAAGTTGTGGGGAAAGTAGATGCTTCGCCTCCTCCTAACTAAAGAGGAGCTGACATGGGATAAGAGATTGGAAATCCAACATTTTGGTGTCCAGTCCATTTCTACTGATGGCATTATAGAGGCGGCACATTTCTCAGTACTGTCCGTGGTGCAGTGTTAGCCCGAGTCTGTGTAATCTGGTAATATTAGCATTACAGAAGACACATTGCATAGACTAGAACTAGACCCTATTTGTGCATCATTTTCAAGTTTAAAATTGATGTTTGTAATGAACAGAAAGCAATTTGTAATTACTTATATTACGTATATAATACTTGTAATAAATGTTTTCTTACGCATTTATATTTGGCTTATTCGTTCAAGCCATAAGGAGTTGTTGTTTTTCTTGTCATTATCAAATCTAATGATTTTTAATTTTAGTACAACTTCTTAAAGGGTTGAAAATTGCAAGAATAACCAAGGGAATTGTTGTTCTGAGTAAATGAAGTGAAATAAACATAATTCTGTTAGAAATGTAAGTTACATTTTATTAACGTGTAATAGAAACTTACATCGTTAAGTCTTTAAATTCCACAAGTGTACCAAATCAAATTTTATAATGCCAATTGTCAGTATTTATTAAGAATTTAAACTTATTAAGTACATTTTAATATTATACACAAATTTTAGATAAAACCTTTTTTGTTTAGTGAAAATAGAAACAAATCCCTTCTAAATTTTTATTCAAGAGATTAGCTGCTTCTTACAAATTAACCTGTTCTCTGAGAAAACACATTTTTGCACAAATCTTAGTGAATGTCCTTGCATTTCTCAGGCCGTTGATAAGGTTTATATAAAATTTTAATACTTTTATGTAAGACAGGACTGGTTTGAATCAGTAAGGAGGAGAAGGGAAGTTAGCAGTAAAATGAGATCCCCTTTTCCAGGAAGTTCACATCTGAGAAAGAAACAGGTGAACTCTGGATTTCTTACCCATATAACTCAACTAGCAAATGTCTTTTGTGCTGATTAAACCCTTCCCGTGCTGTGACCAAGATGCTCTCCAATGTTATTGATATTATTGATGTTATTACCATTTGCCATTCTTAAGCATTAAAGCAAACTTGGAAGCCTGGGCACTAGTTGTCATTGGAATTTTAGAGAAATCTGCTTATCTTGGAATTACATATTCCTTTTGGAGCAAAGGAAGCACTACAATTTGGAGTTACTCAGTCTACAAAGTGCTTTGCATAAAATGCGTTTTTTATTATTTTATTTTCTAATTGAACCTTAGCACTCTGGTGAGGAAGAGTAGGTAGGAAGTAAAAAGTATTCCTGTTTTCTCCAACCTCCTTTTCCTCACCTTAACCTTCACCATTAAGCTATTTCATTATTTTCTAAAGTTCTAGGAAATGATTGTGTGAACAAATTATCTCCAATCTTTACATTTTGAGGGACCTGCCAAAATTTTGAGAAATTCAGAAAGTTCTTTCCTCACTATGCCCAGTACATCCGTTCTTCATTTAAGCCTGTGTCTAAGTCTAAGTGGAATTTTACCGAAGAGCACATCATTGGTCTTACTGTTTTTTTCTTTTCCTATAATTCTGTTCTGCACGTTTTCCTGTGCTTAGAAACTATGAAGTGCTGACGACTTTTGTTTTCCTTTTTCTCTTAAGCTGAAGTAGTTTTCAGCTGTGCTTACTTTGGGGCATGGGTGGCAGGGGGACTCGGACAGTAGGAAGCTAGTAAGTAGTGTGATTTTTTTTGCTGCTGAGATGAGCTGTGTCCTTAACAAGTGGTGTACTTTTTTATTAGATTGGAATCCAGCTGACATTCTTTTATATACTTGATTATACTGCAGTTGCCAATAGGAAAAAATATACAAACATTTTTAAAAATGTACTTAAAATGAAGGGCATTCTGCTTGTTTGTTTTTTTAAAGTGGCAAAATATAATAAATCTCAATGTCTTGAGCCTGAATTGAGGCAATTACATCTATTAGGATTTTTAAAATTATATCCCTTAGCATGTTGTTTATGTGGTTTTTACTTAAATGTTTACTTCTACTTTTAAGGTTTTCCTAATATGGTCTTGTTTTGTAAGATAACTTTTATTAAACACCATACACACATTTTTATTCTTCTACTGCTAAAACATGTATTGTGTGCATTTACTAAATTTTAAAACATTAAAAATTATTTCAAGATAGCCAGTGTCTCTGTTTTTTAACCACCTTTGGGGTAGCTTGGGGTTGGAATGTTGGTTCGTCTTTATTATAGTTTTTTTAGAATGATTCTTGTGCTGATAATGAGAGCCTTATAGACATCAGGTCATGTTCATTCATTTATTGAGTTAATCAACACCTATTAAGCATCTATCATGTGCCAAGAAATATTCCAGTTGTTGTGATACATAGATGCTTAGAAACACTGTCCTCAAGAAGCTTATAATCCAGTATGAGGGACAAACTTGTGAACAATCCAACAAAGTGTAGTAAGGGTATAAAATAAGTATGCATAGTGCTAGAGAAAAAAATTTCAAACTATTTCATACAGAAGATAATTGTATGAAGGATACCTAAGAACTTATTAAGAAAGGGAAAAGCACGATAGGCCAAGTTCACAGTAAGAGTGGGATACAGAAATGGTGACTCCAGGGACCAATGTAAGGTAGAAGAGTGAAAGTGATGAGGTGGGCAGCACCCGTGGCTCAAAGGAGTGGGGCGCTGGCCCCATATGCCGGAGGTGGCGGGTTCAAACCCAGCCCTGGCCAAAAACTGTAAAAATAAATAAATAAATAAAGTAATGAGGTGAAACAAGAAAGGTGAAAAGGTTCTTGGATGCCAGGCTGAAATTCATAGAGTTGGGGCGGGGGGGAGTGTCGAAAAGAGATAATTACTGAATCTTGGAAAACAGGAGAAGGTCACGACCAAATTTATGGTTGGAAAGACTGCCCTGGCCAAGAACACTTGGTGCTGTAATGTTCCTATGTGTGTGTGTATGCATACATGCACTCAAATGAACATATGATACAAGCAATCGAATGGGCTCCAGCTCACTGAAGCAGAAAAGGAGCTTAAGTGAGTGGGTATGAAGCGCTTCACAGACTCTTATCAGAGGAACCAGGCTTAGTAACTGGGTAGGAACCAAGGCGATGAAAGCAACAGGAACCCAGCCAGGATGGACTCAATGTTGTGGCTTCAGAGAATTTTTCAACTGTCTTTGCATCTTTGCCTCGTCTCTTAAGATTTAAAGTTCCAGACAGCAGCATTCAGTTGTAAGTCTAGGTCAAGTGCCCAGGCTCTAATCTGCAGGGGAGGGAATGAGAGAGTAGTTGAACCTCACACTTCTGTGGTCCCATTGAAGTCATCCAATTAGGGATTTCTCCCTAATAGGAAGGGTATGCTGAGGTGCAACAAATCCAACAGAAATTCATGAGCTCTTTAAAATCTGAGCGTGAGAAATGTGTGAGGAGACCAACCAAACCAGCAGTGCTTCTGAGAATGATACCAAAGGTGATTTAAGGAAGGGCATGGTTACGTGATGTCAACCTTTTAGTATACGTAGATGAACTGCTGAACAAACTGCCCACAAATTTCAGTGGCCTCAGTATAAACTCATTTCTCAAAGTTCAAAGAAGAAGGGGGAAAGCTGGACTGTTGGGGGCTGCTCCAGTAAGCCATTCGGAGACCCAACTTCCATCCATCTTCTGATTATGCTGTTCTCTAGATATTCATTCCATCCATTCAGCTGAAGAGGAAAGAGACTGCCCATTTTCACTCATGTTTCACTGGCTAGGCTTCATCTTGTGGCCTCAACTTCCTGCAAGGGGAGGCTGGAAAATGTGCAAAGGAGAAAGAGCTTGACATGGATATTGGTAAGCACTAGCAGTTTCCACCTCAGATCCCTCCAGCTTTCTTGAACAAGCACCAGGGAACCTACTCTTCATGAAAATAGGTTTAAAATCATGTGTCTGCTTTTGGTAGTAGCTCCCCAGAGCTGTTAAGAAGATTTGGAAGCCAGGTCCAGGATAATCAAGAGTCTTGCGGTTGACTGACAAAGTATGCCACAGACATGGGGAAAACCGTCTTTTGTGCAACGTATTTTCACTTCTCTCTAGCATCTTTCTGAAAAATAAAAAGTTCAACCTGGTCTATCTCTGGGGATATTAAGTTCCAACATTTTCCACTCATTCTGTAGTGAAAATAGAATGGGACTGAGAGCCACAAGAACTGAGTTTCAATTCACTCCTACTACTTAATAGCCATATGAACTCAGGCTAGTCTTTTAGTCTCCATCAACCTCAGTTTTCTACCCTACCCACCTACCCTACCACCTGCCTACCTTGCAGAGATATTGTAAAAATCAAATGAGATGGCTCAGCGCCTGTGGCTCAAGTGGCTAAGGCGCCAGCCACATACACCTAAGGTGGAGGGTTCAAATCCAGCCAGGCCCGCCAAACAACAATGATGGCTGTAACCAAAAAATAGCCAGGCATTGTGGCAGGCACCTGTGGTCCCAGCTACTTGGGAGGCTGAGGCAGGAGACTTGCTTGAACCCAGGAGTTGGAGATTGCTGTGAGCTGCGATGCCATGGCACTCTACCCAGGGGGACAGCTTGTCTCAAAAAAAAGAAAAAAAAATCAAATGAGATACCTTGGAAATTGTCTGCAACTCTAAGTGTAAGGTAGCCAGAGTACTGTAATTTATGAGTCTTAAATCTCTTTCAAGCTTCAAGGGGTTTTAGTATTTTGAGATGTGATGATCGAGTACATAAAAACAAACATTATCCTATCTCATCAGAACTATGGTTCATTAAGCCCAATATTGTCATTGGCAGAGAAAGTCAAGGGCATGCAGAAGGCTGCAGCTATCGTCCTTGACGCCAACTTCAAAGGATAGAGACAAAACCCAACATGCTCTAACTTCACTAGTAATCACTTATGACCTTATCCTCCACGATTTAATCTAATCTTTCAAAAATATATATTATCAACTTGTACTCTCTTGTTCTCTATTTTTGGAGTAAAGTTTTATTTTTTCATTTCTAAGCATACTGTGTTAGCCTCTTGTCCGATTTCAAGGGAAAGGAACATAGGGATTTATTGTAAAGCTTTAGGAAAAAGAAAGGAAACCTAGGAATTTGTCTCAGCAGCTGCACTTGCAGGTGTAGTGAACCTGAATATAATAAGATAATAGCCACTTAGCACTTACCCTATGGCAGGGCCTACCCTATGCACTTTATATAAATTATCTCACATAACTGCACAGTAGACTGTGAGATAGGCACTGTCATTATTTCCGTACATACAAAATGACATTCAGAAAGGCTAAGGAAGTTACCTAAGGTCATAGAGTTGGTAAGTACATTTGAACTTGAGGAGTCTAATCCTGGAATATGTGCTCTTAACTACTTGCCATATTGGCTCCTTAGGTCATCCAATCAAAAATATTTTTCACTATTGCATTGCTACAAAACTCTGACTTCTCAGGTCCTGCTTTTATTAGTGTGTCAACTAAAAATATCCCGA